AGGGTCATGAATTTAGCGGTATCATTAATTTGGCAGTATCATGAATTTGGCAGGGTTGTAACAATAACCTTCTAGCTTATATTAGGAATAGAATGAGTTCGACCACTGGATTCTGTGTCACTCGCAAATTGCATTTATTCTCAGTTACAGTAAACAGTTACAAAACACCGTGGTCAGTCAGTCCTAATAGGTCGCATACAAGCAATATTTTACTAGACAAATATGATCTCAAATGTTGGACATTGCGTTGTGTACTTTTATAGAGACTAAGTTACAGAGTCTGACTTACTTGTTCGGCGACGCAGAACAAACCACGGTTGACTCTCTCCAAACGTAACTCCGGCAAGACCTTGTGGGCAACTCCCTCACTCGCTTTCCTCTGTCCTAACTTTATAGCCATTCTAATTATGCGCATAACCGACTCTGACCTTGATTGGTAGACAATACAGTAGCCCACATGTAAGTGTTAACTGGACTTGTCTAGCCACCTCTTTGTGGTGTATATTAATACTGGCAGACAGGCAAGGTGTTTACAGAAGTACAAAGCTGTTAATATACATAATGCATTTACTTCAGAGGGACATCTACAAGAAACCGAAGGTGCTAATAAACAGTAGCGAGTGACAACATTTTACATAATACATTCAACTATGCCTTTGATCTACCTACAGCGGGAATCTCTAAAAACTACCACCTAACAGGGTCATGAATTTGTCGGTATCATGAATTTGGCAGGGTCATGAATTTGGCAGTATCATGAATTTGGCAGTATCATGAATTTGGCGGTATCATGAATTTGTCAGTATCATGAATTTGTCAGTATCATGAATTTGTCAATGTCATGAATTTGTCAGTATCATGAATTTGGCAGGGTGATGAATTTGGCGGTATCATGAATTTGGCAGTGTCATGAATTTGGCAGTGTCATGCATTTGGCAGTATCATGTATTTGGCAGGGTCATGAATTTGGCGGTATCATGAATTTGGCAGGGTCATGAATTTGGCAGGGTCATACATTTGGCAGTATCATGAATTTTGCAGGGTCATGAATTTGGCAGCATCATGAATTTGGCAGGGTCAAGAATTTGGCAGTATCCTGAATTTGGCAGTATCATGGATTTGGCGGTATCATGAATTTGGCAGTGTCATGAATTTGGCGGTGTCATGAATTTGGCAGTGTCATGAATTTGGCAGTATCATGAATTTGGCGGTATCATGAATTTGGCAGTATCATGAGTTTGGCAGTGTCATGAATTTAGCAGTATCAGAATTTTGCAGTGTCATGAATTTGGCAGTATCATGAATTTGGCAGTATCATGAATTTGGCAGTATCATGTAATTTGGCAGGGTCATGCATTAGGCAGTATCATGAATTTGGCAGTATCATGAATTTGGCAGGGTCATGAATTTGGCGGTATCATGAATTTGGCGGTATCATGAATTTGGCAGTATCATGAATTTGGCAGTATCATGAATTTGGGAGTTTTTGTGGGAATTGGGGATACTGCAAAATTCATGATACTTCCTAATTCATGACACTGCCAAATGTATGCTACTGCAAAATTCATGATACCGACAAATTCATGACCCTGCCAAATGCATGACCCTGCCAAATTTATGATACTGCCAAATTCATGATACCGCTAAATTCATGACCCTGCTAAATTCATGATACCGCCAAATTAATGACCCTGCCAAATTTATGATACTGCCAAATTCATGATACTGCCAAATTCATGATACCGCCAAATTCATGACCCTGCCAAATTCATGATCCTGCCAAATTCATGATACTGCCAAATTCATGATATTGCCAAATTCATGACACTGCCAAATTTATGATACTGCCGAATTCATGATACTGCCAAATTCATGATACTGCCAAATTCATGATACTGTAAGGCACATATGTATGGTTGAATCTATGACGTCATGACGTCAAAACGACGCAATGTGCGTTAGTTTTATCAGTTTTATTTGATGGTATGGACCTTTAAAAAGATTGTTAAAATTGATTTAAAAACTTAAAATTATTTCGTTAATTAGCTACGAGTAATTGAATATTTAGTTGAATATCGAGTGTTGGATCTATGACGTCAAAACGACGCAATGTGCGTTAGTTTTATCAGTTTTTTTAATGGTATGGACCTCTAAAAGATTGTTGAAGTTGATTTGAGAACTAGAAATTATTTCCTTAATTGGCTATGAGTAGTTGAATATCATTATATAAACAGGGATTCAGGCCCTACAAATCTGTATGGTTGAATCCATTACGTCATGACGTCAAAACGACGCAATGTGCGTTAGTTTTAGTAGTTTAATTTGGAGGTATGGACCTCTAAAAGAATGTTCAAATTGATTTGAAAACTTAAAATTATTTCGTTAATTAGCTACGAGTAGTTGAATATTGACTTGAATATTGAATATCGAGTGTTGGATCTATGACGTCATGACGTCAAAACGACGCAATGTGCGTTGGTCTTAACAGTTTTTTTTTGATGACATGGACCTCTAAACGATTGTTGAAGTTGATTTGAGAACTAAAAATTATTTCCTTAATTAGCTACGAGTAGTTGAATATCATTATATAAACAGGGATTCAGGCCCTACAAATCTGTATGGTTGAATCTATGACGTCATGACGTCAAAACGACGCATGCGTTAGTTTTATTAGTTTCATTTGACTGAATGGACCTCTAAAAGATTGTAAAAATTGATTTGAAAACTTAAAATTATTTCGTTGATTAGCTGCGAGTAGTTGAATATTGACTTGAATACTGAATATCGAATATCGAGTGTTGGATCTATGACGTCATGACGTCAAAACGACACAATGTGCGTTAGTTTTACCCTTTTTTTGGTGGTATGGACCTCTCAAAGATTGTTGAACTTGATTTGAGAACTAAAAATTATGTCCTTAATTGGCTACAAGTAGTTGAATATCATTATAGAAACATGGATTCAGGCCCTAGAAATCTGTATGGTTGAATCTATGACGTCATGACGTCAAAACGACGCAATGTGCGTTAGTTTTATCAGTCGAATCTTGTGGTGTGGACCTTTTGAGACTGTTTAAAAGACATTTGGTTCATAGAAATTATTCATTGACTTTGCAAGATGGCGTTCAATGTCTATGCATCCACTAGTGTTGTGATCCTCGAAAATCTGTACAGTTTAATCTATGACGTCATGACGTCAAAACGACGCAATGTGCGTTAGTTAAACCAAATTTATTTGGTGGTATGGAACTCTAACAGATTGTTAAAATCCATTTGAATACTGGAAATTATTTCATTACTTTGCAAGAAGGCGTCTGCTTGAAACATGTCGGGTGCGGTTCAAGATGAATCCATGTGCGTTTATCTAATTAATTCAGTTCGATAGTATTGACCACTTAAAGATTATAAAAACTCATTTGCTTTTTTTTGGTTGTTTAAAATTATAGGACTTTTCAATCAAATGAATAAAGAGTTTGAAAGGTTGTGGTTTGGTTTGACATATGTACGTGAAATGTCTATTCACATACTGTATGCGTGCTCATTTGCATATATGGGACAATAGAATGCTCTCGCGCCCAAGACTTCTACGAAATAATGCCTACCATGTCGAATCGAAGGCTCAATCGAAGGCTGCGAATCGAAGGCCGAATGGAGGGCTAACTTCAGGTTGGTGTGCTGAAGGGCCTTCCCTGTCCTTAGTGCTGAAGGTCCTGCCCTTTCCTTTGTGCTGAAGAACCTTCCCTGGCCTTAGTGCTGAAGAACCTTCCCTGTCCTTAGTGCTGAAGAACCTTCCCTGTCCTTAGTGCTGAAGAACCTTCCCTGGCCTTAGTGCTGAAGAACCTTCCCTGTCCTTAGTGCTGAAGAACCTTCCCTGTCCTTAGTGCTGAAGGGCCTTCCCTGTCCTTAGTGCTGAAAGGCCTTCCCATCTCCTGTCCTTAGTGCTGAAGGTCATTCCCTGTCCCCTTTTGTTGCTGCACGGCGAAAATTTTCTTGAAAAAAAAAAACAACAAGAAACAAACTGAGCAATACGTCATACCTTTAGCATTTTGTCGCCATTGCTTATGATCTTTTTCTCAGCTGGAGTAGATATAACTCGTGATTTTGGGGTAAGATCTTTGTCTAAAATGCTATCTGTTATGCCTGTTTGTACGAACGGCGTCTTGATGCAGTTCTTTCAGCAATCGCGAAGAGGAGCTTCTGTACGAAGAGATTTGGCAAGGTAGCAGTATGTATGTAAATATCATTTTATGTTTACGACAGCAAGTTGAGAGTATTCTTTGGACGGGTAGGGGCTTGTCGTACAAAATCAGACGTATTATGATGGAAAATGTTCACTCTTATTCTCTAACATCCTACGACAATAAAAAGAGTTGGTGTATGCCCTGCAAGAGTCCTGGGGCAACGCTACACATGACGTATACAGTTTGATGTACTCGTGTATTGCACAAACAAGGATACAGGAACAATAACATGTTTGCCCTACTGTTACAAAACCCTGAAGAGATAAACACATCGGGAAAGCTGACAGCAGTAAACAACTCTGATTGTTTATACAATGCCCTGATTAATAAATAAGTAACCAACTGTTGCTGCCGTCCACACGACCGAAGTACCACAACACCGGCCTTGTACTACTTCTATACTTTCAACACTGCGTCACCGTGGCCTCAAGATTAACTCAGCTTCGTAAGTTTCTTACTAATTATATCATTCGGAAGATCAAAAAGAGGACATTTGACTCCCCATCCCATCCCATCTCTAAGCAAATACGTGGCTCTGACTTGAGATGATCAACGGAAACGTTGCACCACAAGAATTACAGAACGTGGTAAAAAAACGACGTAAAAATAGACTAGGGCCACACATCTACCACGGACAGCCACTGGGTTTTCGTTTAAATAAACTGTTTCACAACTCGAAATGTAAACGTTGTATTTACGAGCCGTGGTCTAACCCCTGCGCATGCTTGAAGATCGTATGACCCCCCCCCCCTCTTAAAAGTGTTTGCTATAATGTATAAGTTGGCGTGGGCTCAAGAGTATGTCATGGTCGATATGATATATTTATAACCTGCCCACCTGTCCTATATTTAAGGTTGAGCTCTCACGGTAGGCATATATAGGCTGGTTTTCACAGAGATCCTTCAATCAGTGCTTATCAGCATTTGGCAGTGGTGTCTTCTAAATAGCTGAAATTGGGGTAAGGCGTCATATATTTTATATTCTTAAATTCTTTGGTATTGGCAAGGACTAGGAATATAGCGGTAATTTGATAATGCATATTCTGATGAGACAATATAATTGATTGATTTATTTTCTCCACGCGTATTGTATATCAACACAAGTTATTATTTCAGATTCAAGATGCGGGCGTACCTCTTGCTGTTGGTGTTCGCCGTCGCGTGCCATTCGGCCACATTGAGCGACAAGGAAGCGAGCAGGTACTACTAATAAATATTTAGGAAAGTTGTATAGATATATGGGCTACGTTTGACACGTTTTTATTGTCTAGATGCAGCTTTAAGTGTTCTATGTGCCAGCGTCCTGTGCATACACCAATAGAAGTAGTTAACGGAATTTTACGAGCCAAGGTATTATTTTTTATATTAGTCATAAACACATGGATAAGTTGTTGTGTAGTCAAATTATTCGCAACACATAATCCGTAACACACTATTATTAACACATGCAGACATCAAATTTCTAGTGTTTTTCACACGGTTGATTAAAATGCAAAGGACTTTGTTCCTTGCCTATGTCCCTAGTAATACTTATTTGCCCCCCTCAGATTGTTTGATAAACCGGCAGCCCAGAGGCCATTGATAAGATAAGACTGTTAGTCAGTAGGACTTTGTACATAACCTGGAGTCGTTCAGTAGTTAGGGTGCGTCTTAAAAGGTTTTTTTTCGTCAAAATTTTTGACCACAACCTGGGGATCATTTAACAGTGAAATAGGGCGCGCCCAAAAGGTTATAATTATGGGTTCACCACACCACGAAGTGGTGGTGAACCCATATTGCTTTTTCTGATGTTTCTTCTCCTCCTTCTCCTTCTCCTTCTCCTTCTCCTGCCATTTTTATGGGTTCACCACACCACGAAGTGGTGGTGAACCCATATTGC